TCTCTCTCTCTCTCTCTCTCTCTTATAATTGTGTAAACACTTAACAAGATCCTATTTTATGGATTATAATACTTGGCACAAACTATGAAACTAACTTTCCATTATGATTCTAATCAATCATATGCACAATGAATGACAATTTCTTATTAAATTATACTAAATTTGTTGCACTGTACATCTGATATTGTACAAAGTTATCATGATTCATTCTAATACAAACCTATGTAAATATTTTAAATGTTTTATTTCTATTAATTAAAAACTTGTATTGTTTGCTGCTTAGATTATGTCGTATTAATTATTTGTAAGTTTTAAATATGTAATTTTAAGCAGTAAACATTTATTATAATGAGGGTTGATCTTGTATTAATTTTAGAAAATTTATAATTAATTAAATGTTTAGCCTAGAAAACTACCCTACCTCTCTATACTAGTCTTTATTTCTATTAATAATATTTTATTTGTGTCAATCTAGGACAATAAATCTAGAAAGTATTAAATAATACGGCGCCTGATTAATTATTAGATTAAGGATATATTGTATATCACATGATTGCTGCTACTTAACAGGATACAATTGTATTTCTCAACTTAATGATTATTCTTGAATATTCTATGTTAGTTTGTATCACAGTATAACCTAAAGTAAGCATGTTGATATTGTTTTGTTGATACAATTATGATGAAATAACGTACTATCATTTGTCTCGATTTTTAATTGTATTTTCAATGCTATTAGTATGATAAAATCATAGAGTGCATTGTAAATATAATAATATGGTAAATGTCACATGGTAAACTTAATGTTCATGAAAAAACATTTGATAATAATATCACATGTATCATTTAATTTATTTAATGCTATTATAAGTTATATAAGTTTATCAGGCTACTAGTTAGTAATTATTAAATACTAAAAATTATTATCTTACACAGTATTTATAATTAAAAAATTAACAAAAGTCAACAAATATTTTTTAAAATATTTGTTCGATTATTTTATTGTACTAACATAAATGTAAATTATGTTTATAATTATTGTTTATTTCTGATAATCATAATATATTTTAATTATAAAGTTAAAACAAGTTTTTTAATTTATAAACTAACATAAATACAAATAAATTAACATTATTATTATTAAACAAAATTTATTGTAAACATAATTTACATTAATTTATTCGTAAAATTTGTCTAAATAATTAGCAATAATAGCTGTCATAGAATTTAATTTTTGATCTGGATCACCATTTGGCTTCAAAACGCACTTGGTATCCGGATGAATGCCTGTTGCTTTTTCAATATTTTCCGCGTAACTTAATATTATGTTTTGTTGATTGCGCAGAAACTCCCTAAATCCATCTTGATCTGGATAAATGTTTTCTAACTTGATCAAATACAATCGTATCAGGCTACAAAAAAATACAGAAAATATGAATACAAATAATTATAATTTCTACAAATACAACAAAATTAAATACCACATGTTTATTGTTTTACAAAATAATAATTACCACAAAACTTTAGGCATGCTACCTTTTGCATCGCTCTCGGTAGCGCTTGTGATTTCTTTAACCAGTGCTTTCTTTAGATTGGTAGCTTCATCTAATTTGTCATTAATCATTTTGGCGTATTTTAACTGGGTCACGTTGTCCACTCGACAAAACGATATCCACCTAGCTATATTATGCGCGTTTGCTGATTCTTCTAGTATTCATTGTTCTTTTTGGTATCAAACCACGCGTAGACATCATTTAACTTTTTAGCGCTATGTCATTTGGATTAGGATATAATGGACATTAAGCAACTTTTATATTTATACATTTAAATTAATAATCTGTTTTAATTCGATCTAGTTATAGATACATGTATTATGTGACTTACTTAGCACCGCCCATATCGGTAAATGAACGCCGCTCTTTACAATAATTTATCAAGCCCGTGGAATTATCCGCCATTAATTGTCCCGAACCAATTATTTCATTTTCCATCATGAACTTGTTCACTTTTTCTTCAGTGACCACTTCGCAGTTATAGTAATCTAGGTATTAATGTTTTAGATAATTAGATAAGTTAATAATGACTTTACCTATTATTGTTGTTTTTAAATGTAAGGTAATTAATATTAATTTAATTAATATACATACTCATTTGTGATGTACAATAAATGATTGCACAAAATAAATAAATGAATACTGTTGGTGAATTCATTTTTTACGTTGTTTAATTTAAAGGTGTTTTAATAAATAAAAAACAATGTTACATTAAAATTATTGTTTGTATATATTTTATGTTTTAATTTTATATTTTGATATTCTAATTAAAAATCTAAATTTTTATAAATTAACTCCCATTATGGTTAGTTGCATACGTATAGAATATGCGCATATGGTTAAAAAATTACATTTGTATACTAAAATTTAATGTAAATAAAATTTTAAAACTATGATTTTAAATTTTAAATTTATTATTATACAATATTTATAGATAACTAGATGGCATTCCGACCAATAATAATTTAACAGTGGTAATTAAATGAATGATAATTTTAACTTAATTTTAAATAGTTAGAACTTTACCGTTATAAAAACTTTATTTTTCTATCTTATATTTAATTATTATTCAAATTTTATTTTTAAAATCATATTTATAACTTTAATTTATTATATTTAACTTATATTTAATTAGAAATTGTAAAAATGATATTATTTTTTTTAAAGCTAACTAATTATTACAATAAAAATACTTTGTAACTACATATTTAAATACTGTTTAAATAAATTTTGTATCTATATGTTATTCTTATAAATTATAATAATTTTAATATAAATTATATGAATTACTTAAACAATCATTTAAAATTATTCATAATACCCACAACAAGTCTAAAATATAATCTATAGTAAAGTCTATTACTAATTTATAAACATTATTTTAATAATTTTATTATATTATTAATAATTGTTATTACATTAACCAAATATATAAATAACAATTTTAATTGTTTTTAAACAAGGTTAAACAATTTAGGAATAAAACGCGTTTAATACACCAGTCATGGTCACCGCAAGTGATTTAACTTTTATCGGACAGACTGGCACAGGTGCTTCGGTCACAGGGGGTGCTGCCTGTGCTAACACAGGCGCCACAACACTGCCAACTGATTGAACTAGATTGTTCACTTGTTGAGCAACTGGTGCTGCGACCTGAATCAGGGGTTGCTTTGCACCTTGTCCATTTTCAATTGGAAAGTCACATTTATCAGCAGCCTTTTGTCCAGTGCCAGTTCCAGGTAACTTTCCAGTAATGAACTCGCTTAAACTGGCAAACACACTTTGGTGCTCTCTCACAAATTGTTTAAATCCATCTTGGTCTGGGTACAGGTCCACCAGTTTATCTACATAGCTTTTCATGATGCTATGGCACGTTATAATATAGATAATTGTTTTTTAACACAAAACAAATATATATATATATATAGCTAAAGTATATAATTATATATATATAATTACCATAAACCTTTTCCAACATTGTCTGTTTTCATATCTGCCTGGGGCAAATTACTGATGGCGTTAATAGCTGAAAGTTTAAGATTTTTAGTTTCTTCGATTTTCTCATTAAAGAGCTTAGCGTATGTCAATTTTGTTGTTGTTTTGTTCAAGCGACAGAACGAGGTCAATCTATTAAGTACGCTTGGGTTTACGGCCTGCCCTAGTATTACAGTAGCCTTGGGTTTCTTGCTACCAATCCACGGGAATATACCTTTCAGGTTTTTTGAACTATATTAGAATATAAGTTTTAATTAGAATTTTATATATCGCATGTGCATATTAAAGTGTAATTTTATTATATATCTATAAGAATTACATTTTTAAAACCAACTTACTTTGGACTATTAGCATCAGTAAATAGACCTTTTTTTGCACACCATACGTTCAGAGCTGTTTCACTTTCGGGCACTCTATCACCCTGACCAAACCATTCCAGATCCGCCACAAAATTGTGGGCAAATTCCTCATGCGCATCATTACAGTTTGACCAAGCTTATTATAAAAATTAATTATTAGGTAAATACAGTATTAGTATTATATAATATATTATTTATAAATAGTGGCGTAATTATAATTAGATTGTTAAAATATAACAATATAGATTTGACTTTATTTTTAAATAACAGTTATAGTAATATGTAAATAAAATAATCATAAAATATTTGATGTAAATGTAAATAAAATATAAATGTAAATAATTGATAAAAACAATCAATTTTATAAGACATTTTACTTAATTAGTTTTACCTATTTTATTAAAAATAAAATTTTTAATTGACATTATGGTGAAATAAAAACATACGGATTAGAAAGTAGTAGCCATATTAAGTATTTATATTTTAAATTATACTTAAATTATAACCACAGTTATCCTGCATATTAAATTATGTATAATTTAATAATAAGCATATATTAATTATACTGAAATTAATTCTAGCATTTATTTAAATACAGCTCAAGTAATAACAATTAATTTTACAAAGCAGCTTAAGAATTTAAACTTTATACCAAATTAAAACATGCAATGTCCTAGATTATTAATCGGCAACGTTATTTTAGATTAGCCAGATTCAAATTCACAGTGTGCCATAAAAAGGTGGCGCAACGGTCGGTATAAAAATTTATGTTTGTCAGTTTAAACAAGAAACACCGCGTGAATGTCAACCTAATAGTTTCTCACCCAAATTTATAGTGGTTGGCTTTCAGTCTATACACACAAACGTCATTTAAAATGAAGAATAACATAAATTTAATTATTAAATCACATTTAAATGAGATTTCTGATATTGTGCGCGAATATCAGCAATTGTATTAATATTTGGCTCAATCGTGTAACAAATAAGCACTTAAGTTAAACACTGAATTTAAAAAGTCCCAAATAATTAACATATAGCTTATTATTAATTAATGATTAACTATTAATTCATTGTTTTAATGATGAAAACAATTTACATAAAATTTGCCAGAAAAAAATAAACAACAAATGATTTTGTAAACAATTATCGTCTGTTTAAAGCATATCTTATTTACATAGAATGTTACAAAATTTGTTAACACGTGCCCCTTATATTAAATATAATTTTATTTTTATTTTAATGTAAAATATCTATCAATTGTCAATTTAATCAATTTATTATCGATATATTTATATTAGGAATTTTAGTTGAACATGTGGTTATACTAAGTATAGCGGCTGTACTACGTTGCCTATAAATATCCTAGATCATATAATTATCTTAATAAATCTTACTTGTATAAGGTAATTATTGGAAATATAAATTTATACTTACAGCATAGCGAGGCCAAATAAATAAAAGTTACCGCAATGTAACTAAATTTATTTGTTAAACACATTTTATGCTCACTATCTATAGTGTATAGTTAGCAAAAAAATGGCAGCAAATATGTTTTATTTATAATTTTAATTAATTATTTATTGAATAAAGTAAGTAAAACTATTAATATACCTATTTAATAGTTGATATTTTTACTATTCTTACATAGGCTTATTTAATTTTAAGTAGTTTAAGTTAAATCTATTTTATTTTATATTTTAATTATATTTTATTTTAGAATATAAACAATTAAATTAAAATATAAATAAAAATTATTATTATTTGATAGTAAAATAATTATTTGTAAGGTTTATAACAAATTATTTAATTTACAATACATAACTAAAAACAACCAAAATTTAATTTATTAATTAAATAATAACAATAATTAATAAATTTTTTATATTTTTTATAGAAATGTAACATAAGTATGGACTTTAAATATACAGAAAATTAACAAGTACAAATAAAACACGTTATAAACCATGGTCTTTTTCATACGCGCGTTTCCATATATCGCTCAAACAAACGGATGAATGAAACCGGTAGAAAAGCATCAGGGGCAAATTAGCATTGGAAATGGCCATCCAAGTTAGTTTGCCAAAATATTCGTCCATACCCTCATACCTGTCCATAAACTTCAACTCAAAGGTGTTCAATATCCACAAGGTGACATTCAGTATTAGGGCAAATATAATCCACTCGCGACCAGGTTTACGGTACCGTAGCTGTCGAGTGTTGGCGCACCGGCGCATACCTAGTGTGACCAAAATCATTAAATTAAATATGCATTAAAAAAATTATAATTAAAAACAAGCCCAAAAATTATACTAAAAAGTTTATAACTTATATTCTATATCACTTATAAAACACATTACTTGTAAAGTTATATACATTTTTATATTAATTATTAAAATATGTAAACTTTATCATATTTGTGCTTTATAAATAAAAAATCTACACAGGTAGTTTGCATTTCATTGTATTACATAAACAAAAACCACATTTATTATTAAACCTACCATCGACAATAAACGGCGACTGACAAAGGACCTGGGCAATAGCGAACAGATATATCACCACCAGGAACCATTCAGCGGCGGTGCCCTTATCCACCGAGGCCATTATTAATGTAATATAATGGGTAATAAAAAACGGGATTGGTATCAAGAGCAGCAAATCGTGCATGGTCACATAACCCGGGTCATCACCGGATATGGGTTGGCGCACATCTAGCCTACGGGTCTTATTGTAGGCTAAGGGCACTACAGAGCACCCGACGGCAGTCAAGGCCGATATCTGGGCCGAGTATACGCTAAGTCCAAGTTTTTCGTACGATTGGGTGGCAAAAAATATAATGATGGTCACAGCGGTGGCCAATAGGGCGCTTAGCCCACAAAATAGACCCCGATTGCTGGCGTGACAGTCGGCCCGAATTAATAGCGATGTGCTGGTTTGTCGGCTGGTAGAGTGGTCATCGGTATATGATTGTGAATGAGCTAGGTTTGCTGATTCCGATAGCGTGCTGTTGCGTTTAAATATGTCTATTTTTGTTTTGCCTAATTGATTTGATTGTGACAGGTCAAATAATATGTTAATTTAATGATTAAAAATTGGCAAATTAATGTATTTTACATATAAATAATGTTATAAACTGTAATTTAAGAATGCTCACATATTTATAGTGTTTTTATATATTTAAATATCAAACAAATTTGGTGGTGGAGATTGTTTCGTATCTTATAATATACTGTAAAATAATTTTATTTATTTTATAGTCAACAAAAAATATGTTTAATTATAGTAAATTGGTTGTCAACAGTGTAATATATTTAAATTATTACTATAATTTTTAAAAACTATATTTCAATAAATGTAAAGTCCATCTATCGTGTAATCTCTAATAAAACTACGTGTATATGTATTGTATAATAAATTGCTTAATTTATTACAATATAAGTAGAATTTTTAAAAAAATATTATAAATATATTTAAAACTTACCAATATTAGTCCAACAAATGTACCAGATAGAAGCCATTATTATATTAAACTCAATTGTAAATGGATATAAATAGGGTAGAGTGGCCATTGACTTTGCATTAATCACAGTGCGCTCCAAACAATACAACTGATGTTTAATAACTTGGTTAAAAACACCTAATGTCTCGTTATATGTGCCGTTAGCCGCGTGTATATCACCCACGTAATCGTCAATTGCCTCGTTTATTATAGTCCTAAACCATACTGATAATGATGTAGCTAGTAAATGCATCAGGGCAAATCTGCTCAGCCTTTGATACCGGTTGATCAGTATCTGTGAAATTAAATATATAATTAATTAATTAATTTTTTACAGAATTAATAATAACAATAAATACAAGGTATACAATTTAGTTAGTAAATATAATTATTGTAACAAGTGTACTTTAATGGATACTTACATTTGAATACTTAAATGCCATAAAAAGCTGATAAAATGAGTATATAATCTCTAATGAAAAACACAATATTGTGAATATATCGCGGCATTTGTTGACACCCTTGGCGTAAAAGTAGATATAACTGAATAACTGAACGCCCATATGAACAATGCTTCCGAAACAAAACACTATGGTGGATTCAATAAAATCAATTAAATTTGTTTATTTACCTGGTTATAAATTAATAAAGTAATTTACTATTTGATTGAGACATATAAAGTAAATCTTGAAAACCAACGCTGCCAATTATAATTTAAATACTTTATTTAGTTTGACTAAATTAATTAGTTACGCAACAGTTACAGTTTCTAACAGATTAAATATTTTATATCTAATTGCATAACATATTATTTGTGTATTTATTATTTTGAAAATTTAATGTTTGCTACAATTTATAATTAGTTATCTATAATTTAAATTTATAATAAATTATACAAAACAATAACAACATAAATAACATACCAGTCATTCCGCATTTGAGGTAAAAATTACTAGAATTATCACCATCTTGAAAATCATACTCGGTTAAACCACGCTTTCTAAGCGAGTGACCCTTAAAACCCGCACCTTGATCATTTGGTTGTTGGGGCGCTGTATTATGCAGCGTATTAAACACAACGGCCGTAGCTATGCTAGTAGTATCGTAAAACTTTTCATCTAGATAATCCTGGGACTCGTTATTATTATGTTTGTTGTTCATTTCGTTAAGGTAGTTCAAGGCCCACCGTTTGTACCGTATAATGTCCACGTGCAGCCATACCAACCAGCCAAAACCGACCAAGGTGATTAGAATTGTAAACGAGTTAATTTTGTTATTGTTTTTGTGGTTCACATCGTAGAGGCATATGATCGCCGATAGCATCACTAATAATAAGGCGTATAATATAGACAGGAAACGTGCGTTATGTGTCGAGGTGACATAATTATGTCGATCATTTTTATATGTTCTAGGTACCGAGCGATTGTAGTCATTGATACTATTCTGGGCTAATTCGTTAGTAATTGATCTTGCTAGTTTTTTATCTGTATTTTATGCAAAATATTTATTAATAAATCACTAAGTTAATTATTTTTACTAACAAGTAAGCTATTATTAAACTGATTTATTTTACTCACGTTTACGACTGCCCGTACGAGTTGGTGGCGCTGAATGATATTCATGATCAGGCTGGTTTATTATTACGTGGTTATTATTATAATCAGTCAGATAGTCGGACCGTACAATACTGGCCAGGCTACTTGTGTCGATATGATTTAACTCGGTCTGTGAATCACTTTGTACAACAATTGTTGGTATATTTGATCCTTGGTTAGGAAACCAGTAATTTTCCGACATAATGTAATTTATTATGTTATTATTTATAGTAAATATTTATTTTAAACACTATAACAATATATTACATGATAATAGTAATAGAATTAAACTATCTTTACAATATAATTATGTTTATAAATAAGATTATTTATAATTATTTATAACTAATTATTTAAAATTATAATGTTAACTTATGTTTGCAGTAATCGCGAGTATTATTTATAATGTTTAAGTATTACTATAATAACTTATATATAAATTAATATTATATTATGTAACTAAACTGTTGCAAATAACAACATCAATATTATTGATTAATCCAGTATACACAGGTTCATGATCAATTGAGTTATAATGTACTAAACAATTATAGTATCCATACATGTGTTAAGTATTAAATAAATTAACAGCTACTGTATTTTAATAATGCAATTGTAGTTGGCTATCTGACTATTAACTACAATGATAAAATGAATTAAAATACTTCCATCACCAATTAGACATTAATTATTGCTCATTTATTATGAAAAATACATGTTTTAATTTCTAGGAAGCACCTATTATTTTATTAATCTAGCTAAAGGTTTAGCTAAAGTTTTATATAAGTATTTAATATAGTACTGTATTGTAACTTGACTAAACAGGATTTACAAACATTAATATTTAATAATTAATTAAGTGCACAAATAAATCAAAATATTACCTGATCTAATTGCTGATTTAGTAGCTGGCCAAGAGGTCTAAATTTTTATCTAGTCTATATGCATGGCCTATAAACAGTAATGTATTTATCAATGTTTATGTTGTCAAATATAATTCTATTACAACCATGTTATTTAAAAGTAAAAATCAAGTTTAAATGCACTGTATGTTTTATTGATGGTATAATAACAAAATTGGTTTTGTTCAATAATTTTAAATAATAATATGCATTAAAATTATTTATTTATTATCATAGTAGCTCATTGATCTTTATCACACATGCAATTTATTAAAAGCTACTACCAATAATAAATAGTAATAATTACAAAATCTGTTTTACTGCAAAATATATTTAATAAATCATCGTTGTACTAATTGAACAAATTGATCTTTGTTGTTTATATAATCCTAATTAAGCTTACGGTGTGTTTTATATAAAGTACTACTACTTTACTATTATTTAATCTAATATTATATGGATAAATAAATAATACTGTGGTGTTTCTAACATTGAGTTTACCTTTATTGAATATTAAGATATATTAAACACACATTTAAAACATAAAACAATTATATTTTAAAAAACAATTTAATACAGAGTTAATTACAATTTATAAGTGTAGTTAGTTTAGAGTCTACAGTATAGCCAAACTTTTATATAATTTTAAATTTAGATTTAAAGTTAAATATTAAACAAAATCATATTTGTTAACTTTGTAAATAAAATTCTATTAATGTAATTATTTTCTGTCTAAATAGTGTATCACTTTTTATTATTTAATCTGATCATCATCGTTACTATAAATTAATAATAATCAGTTAAAATAAAATAATTAAATAAAGTAAACTATGCTATTTTTATTGTTAACAAAGCTAAAATTATTTTAAGTTAAGAAACATATGGTATATTTAATTTATGAATAATAACTTTCTAGGTAATTAGTTAAAGTGACCATCATGGTTTGATTATTGTTTGGTTCACCTGGCAACGGGACCAGCTCGCACTTTGCATCGGGGCCATTGTGGGTCGCCTTCTCGATCAATTCGAGCAAGGTGACAAACATACTGTTGTGGGTCAACACAAATTGTCGGATACCATCCTGATCGGGAAATACTTGAGTCAATTTATCCAGATACAATCGAAACACGCTAGGTATTAGATTTATGTTTTTAAAATTAATTTCACAAACAACTCTGTAGTTTAGTATAAGTTTAGGCGACTATTAATTATTACCACACATAGAGTTTAAGGCACTGTATGACACGTACAGTATGACACTACATAAGCTGTAATTATAAGCATACTTACCATAAAATTTTACCAAGGTTTTTTTTTGGCTCGTTTTCAGTAGAATCATTCAAGAATTTCAGCAACGCGTTTCTTAATGAGCTACTTTCAATCAATTTTGCATTAATGAGCATGGCATATCTTAATTGGATAGGCGCGGCCAGACTGCACAGGTCTTTGAAACGCATCATATTCGGTACGTTGACTGTGCCCATCAATAATTTTATAACATTGTCTTTTTTCTTTTTGATCCAGGCGACAACCTCTAGCGCTGCTTTCGCCCTAAATCACCGGGGTAACATAGTAGATTGTTTCTATAATTAAAATGATTTTAAATGACATACTTTTTATTAAAAGGATCTATTAATGATCCTAGTCCAGGAGATCGCAAATAGGCTTAAAATATTAACTGGCAACGCTAGCTCCCATAGACAATACATTATAGCAATGCCCGCGAATGCCCAATTATGCCCGCTCTGCGTCCCCCTGTCCTAGTCCTTTGCAATAGGCTTGCAAACCGTTTGTATTGTCTGGTAATGTTTTTCCCGTATCGTAGAATTCAAAATCCGCAACAAATTTATTCATTTCTATTTCGGTGCATGCTACATGGTCTAAGTTACAAGAATAATAAATAGATTTATGAAGTTATAATTATTTACACATTAATATTTCAAAAAGTATATATCATTAAACGGCATAGGGCTCCTAAACAAGCTCCTATTATGAAAAATAGCATAACTTTATTCATACACTATTCATATGTTATCCACTTATAATGACAGTATGTCAATAGGTATTGAATTTGAATTGTGTACAATTATTATATTTATACTTACTTAATAACATTACTAAACATATATGAAATAATAATATTTTCATGCTTGAAATAATCATAATGATTTTAATATTTTTAAAAAAAATGTGTCGGAACTTAAATAAGTAAAAATATTTAATAAACTGTTTATTTTATGTTTAACAAATATGGTATTTTATATTTAAGTTAATTAATATTGTAAATTTTCTGGTTATATGCATGTAAGTAATAAAACGTAAATAAATATTACAATAATATTAATATTACAGTAATATTATTACTGTAATATTAATAATATTAATTAGAGTGTGTTACGTAAATTAAAACTTTACTAATTAAACAAATTGACCTTTGTAGCTTGGGATTATATAGATTAATAATAAATGTGAGAACTACATAAATTTTATAAGATTAATATTTTAATAGAATATATTTTAGTACATATAACATCATCAAAATATTTAATGACATTTATATTTGGAGTCTACAATATTTATTATTATTATTATTATATGCCCAAAATCAATACAACAATAATATATATTTTATTGTCATTATATAACTCGTGTAAACATTTAATATACATAATAAATCAGTTGGTAACTGGCCTATTGATATTTAAATCATAAATAAATATCATTATATTATAATAGCAATTGTAGGAATAGAATCTAGACTATACAAAAATATAATTCGTTGTGTATGTAATGTATAAATAAGTTGTGTAGTTTTATTTTGGGAACACTCTTGGGAACTGATTATTGTCAATAAAATTGCTTCTTATTTATCATAATAAAAATACAAAAATTAATCAGATATTTCATAATAGATTCAAATAATAAATCTAATTTCAATATTATATTTATATGCAGTGTTTGAACATTAGAAACAATTAATAATACAATGTTTTCTAGAATTAAAAATGCATTTAAAAATTGCAAAAATATATCAAGATTAATTTGTCTGATCGGATGTTGCCTTCAATTACAGCCATTATTAACACAATATTTCTCATACGAGACCACAACTGATGTGCGCTTCGAGACTGAGACTATCATATCATTGCCGGCAATCACTCTATGTATGTATAAAAACCTGTATATACGGCCAGAATTGGTGCCCAACAATATGACTATTAAATCATATACTAAAATAAAACATTATTTAAATAATATGTCAATAAAAAATCAGTTCCGTTCACTTAAGACACCCGACAATATACTAGGTACATGCTGGGTATTAAAACCATTGTCTATCAACATCTCTGACAATGCTATCAGTTGTGCTGATATTACACCCATAAGACAGTCTATAGGCGCCGGTGATTATTGTATGTCATTATTCATGCAAATGGACGGCCAGTCGGACGACAGGTACCGGATCGACACCACCCCGGGCAAATTACCAATAATTTTTCGTATTGAAAACACGTTATTTGGCGATAATCTAGTGCTACACATACACCAAAGGGATCACACTATTTGGCGAGAGTTTCAACGTGGTTATATTAATGTGGCCACAAATTATCGGTATGTAATACTCGAGTATCGGAAAACAATTATCAAACTCCTGCCCAACCCATACAGCCCCGGGTGTGTTGACTACAAAGCCCGGGGTCTGGGCTTCCCATTCGACTGTTGGGCAAACTGTCTGTCGGATCGCTTGTCGGCCGCAAACCAGTCATTGCCCGACAATTATCTCGTTTACGACCGGAATCTCAGCCAACGATTTGTATATTCGAGTCAACCCAATATACGGGATATATTTTTGTTAGAGTGTAAGAAAGTATGTTTTAAACATCTCGATTGTTACCAAGAACATTATCAACTAGTACAGAAAGAACTTCTTTGGCCATGGTCAATCAACAATGTACGAAATTACACTTATTATTTTTCTATTAAGCTGCCCTCACAACCAACGCTCACATATAAACAAACACCAAAACTATCGTTCGTTGAGTTTCTGTGTCTGATTAGCAGTATATTCAGCCTATGGTTCGGCTTTTCAATGCTATTTATATCGGATTTATGCGTAAACTCTGCGATAAATGTTTTTAAAAAACTTTGTTATAAACATTACACTAAAAATAATAACAATTCAATTGTTATTAATGTAAGAAATGTAAGAAATACTCAAAACATAAAGTTAACACCGATGAGGGCACGTCGAGATATGACATAATAACCTACATGTACAATTTAGTATAAGTGCACAACTAGTGCTTGCAGTGTTGCAAGTTGTATACTTTATAAATGGTGGGCGTATATTAATTATGCAGCTTTTTGATCATAAACAATTTGGATTCTAATTTAAACGCTAATTTGTTTATTGACTAATCATGTTTGGACCATGTTAGCACTATATTAATTATTTAATAAGCATTGATTTTTATTTTAATAAAACATATTTATAAAAAAAATTATATTTAATCCATATTTCATTTAAACTGTTTTTTAGTTATATAATTATTATTTGTTAATCTATGATAATTATCACGAATTACTTTTATTTCATTAATTAAACCCGAGATGTTTTATGATTAAATAATCCATTTTGTTATTGTTGTTTAATAAAGTAATAATACATACGTTGTTTAGATATTTATTGTGCCTGTAAAGTAAGTAATTTATAACTTAAGTATAATTATTAGCATGTAATAAGATAAAATATTACAAAATAAATGCTCTGTTAAAAGTTTTAATTAAATCATAGGGCATCTGACAACCGAAAGTGGTCTCTGTAAAGTTATTATGCGATTTACAGCTCACCCGTTCCTCATATCTAAAAACTGATTTTACCATGTTAATGCCAGATACATTTCTGATTTTTTGATGTACATAAAGCGTTATTAACCAGTCTTGGTATATTTTTAACATTGATGTTTTTATAGATGAATTTTTCCAAAAGCAACAAATAATTACATTTAAGTTCTTTAAATAATTTATTAAAATAAAAATTTTAAAAAATGTAATGATTTTAATAATAGATTAATTGTTAATTAAAACAAGAAAGGTCATTACCAATCAAGTCTTGAAGAACGTAATTATAAACACTTAAATTAAACAAACACTTCAGACTTGTGATAAAATACCATGATTATTATAGAAGCTTAAAAAATAATAATTGTTTTTTATGCACTAATGGTGCAAGGTTCAATTAAACTTTGTACGTTTTATATATTTAAGATACAATAGTTATATTTTACGGGCATTAGTTCAGTACAAAATACAAACAACATCATGTGTAAATAATATTATCATTGTATTTAACGACCCTTTATATTATTGGTGTTCAATCTTTTTTAGTATATCACAAGTACAGATTCACAGTATGCCATAAAAAGGTGGCGCAACGGTCAGTAACAAAGTTTAGTTTGTCAGTATTAAACAAGAAACACCACGTGAAGGTCAACCTAATAATTTATCACCCATTTTTATAGTGGTTAGCTTTCAGTCTATCCACAAAAATCATTTAAAATTAAGAATAACAGACATTTAATTATTAAATCACATTTTAATAAGATTTATGATATTGTTTGCGATTATTAACAATTTTATTAATATTTGAATCAATCATATTCGATGATATTTAATCATTAAAATATAATTTTAATTCTGAGATGACACTTGGGTTTACTACTCCAACTTACTAATAGTAAGTACATTGAACATCAATACTTTATATCATGTTAGATTATTTACACATTATTTGTACCATGTAACATATTTCTTTCTAGAACACTGAGCATTTAATTATAAATTTTATTTAAACAACAATTGATCATTATTCTATGATAATTATTACAAGTAAATTATATAATCATAAGACATAACATGATAGTTATAAACAAAATAACATTGAAATGTTAATTAAAATCAAAATATAAATAGACTAGTTTTAAATGTTTTTTCAAGATTAATATAACCTATGTAATTTATATTAGTAGACTAATATTAGTAGAACTATAAAATTTTATAATATTATGGGTATTTAAAAGCAAGATTAAACGGACTTTTAAAGTGGTTAAGCAAGAGATACTGCATATGATTATAATCTTATTTTTTATTAAAACTAACACATGATTGTTTTAGTTTGCCAGACTAACCTAGGCATAATCAGCATTTATAATTGACAGGTCCGTTAAAAGTCTAAATATAAGCTTATTGTTGAAGTGGATAAGAGTGTTTTTCAAACGTTGTTAAAATTATCAGTCACATATTTAATAATTAATAAATAATGTTGAGTATATTTTATATCAAAATTCTAAAAAGTGTTATTAATTTGTACTAGAATAATATATTTATTATAAACCTAATAATCCTATTTATGTGTAATTTATGGACAGATTAATACATTTATTGAAAATCAAATTATAATTAAACATGGTATATAAGGAGTGTTTACACAATTGAAAAGTTACCCTTGTGAATTAGTTTGAATAAGACAAATACGGGTACGTTATACAGGTTTATTATTGATCTGTTAAATATCGTTTTTAAACAATTTATTAAAATTATAAGTTATTTTTATCTAGATCTATAATTCTCGAAAATGATGTCGAAAATTTTGTTCCTGGCATTTGTTGCCGCCGCATACAGTCTACCCAGTAAGTTAATTACCTTCAATCTATTATTACTTATTACTTTTATAAGTTAAAGTTTAATTTATTAATAAATTATAACCTTTCCAAATTAAAAGTGTCAAACGAGGGTAATGCCGACAAATTGGTCGACCAATTGTTGGACGTGGTGAAAGCCAAATACGGCGCCCAATTGGACCCGATGCATTTGAACGACTCGATCGCCGCTTTCAGCAAGAAGATCGGATTCATCACCTTCCATGGTAAAATCATTTAATTAATTATGCCCATACAAGTGAGGTATTAGTTAGTAAATGTTTAGTTAGTTTATATGGCAGTTTTCTAATTGATCAAAATGATCACCCAGCATAATAAAATTTTACTAAATGAACGAAACAGTCAATGTGTCTGGGTAAAAATCTCAAACTTTAAATTATGTATTAGCAAATAATTTACATTATTTAATTACAGTACATAGATATTGAGCAAAACACAAGAAAAAGTTTTATTAAACTGTTTCTAAAAAATTACTATAAAATACAATAAACAAAATAAAATGCCCTTTAATAATCACTTTACCATGCTAGGCGATGCCAAACTGACCGAGGGCACAATCACCGGGCTTAAAAACATCAAACGCTCGGGCGAGTGCACAATGACCACAGACAAGGGCTTCGACGTGAAGGTGCAGTTCGGCGACAACAACATCGGCGCCCACTTTAAGGCGGCGTTAGATTTCATGGATTTGCACACTGAGGGCACCATTGATATCAAGATCGCCAACTTTGACACTAAGGTCGAAGTGTTTACCGACGCAGCCGGTAAGCTGGCCATCAAGGACTTCCAGGTGGACGAGCTGAAAAAGGTGGGCATTGATTTTCATGGCCCGATCGCACCCCTGGACGGCCTTGTTGACTTGTTGGGCGAGTCGTTTATTACCATATTCAACAAACAGTCGCGCGATTTGGTCGGTAAAGTGTTAAAGGGTATTGTGGAGAAAGAGCTCCAGAACCTTCATTTGTAATTGATTTGATCATGATTACAATTGTACACTGTATATTTATTAATTTTTCCATCAATAATAATAAATAAAAACAATACATAATTACATTCAAAATAATTGTTAAAAGTAATTCTTTTTAAAATTGAAATTTTATAAATTTTTAAATAACTAAATGTTTAGCTAAAACGAGAAAGGTCATTGCCAATCAAGTCCTAAGGAATGTAATTAAAAACACTTAAATTGAACAAACACTTCAAACTTGCGATAAAATAGCAAATGATTATTATCGTGTATTAAAAAATAATAATTATCTTTTATGCACTAATAGTGCAAGGTTCAATCTAATTTTGTGGATTCTATATATTTATGGTACAGTAGTAACATTTTACGGGCATTAGACCATGATAATAATATAAATTAGCAACATCATGTGTTTCAAAATCAAAAACTCTATATTATCAATGTACAATCAACATTGTATTTAATGACCGTTTATTACTTATTGCAAGATTATTTACACCATGTAATACTATTGATGAAAGAATGTCAAACATACAATAGTAATAATTACGTAAACAACATTTGATCATTATTGAGTGATAATGATTACAAATAAATAACATAATCACTCGATATAACATGATGGTTATAATTTATAAATATAACTTATAAACAATATAATATTTGAATGTTAATTAAATTAATTCAAAAATATACTTGTTTTAAATGTTTTATTAAGATCATTATAGATCATTATGTGCTAAGCACATTCTATAATATAGCCTATGTATTTATTAAGATTATTTTAGCATACGTAAATAGGCTAATATTTGTAGAACAATAGCATTTTTAAATATTATATGTGTATCAAAAGGCTAAATGAAACGAAACTTTTAAGTGGGTACGATAGAGGTACTGTCGATGAGCTAATCTTATTTTTATTAAAAATAACACATGATTGTTTTAGTCTGACAGACAAAACAGGGCATAATCAGCATTTATAAATAAAAGGTCCGTTATAATCTGAATTATAGCTTATTATTGAAGTGGGTAAGATTGTTTTCAAACGTAGGTAATAATTATCAGTCACATATTTAATAATTAATAAATGATGTTGAATATACTGTACATATATTTTTGAAATTCTAAGTAATATTTTAGTATTTAATTTGAAAAAGATTAATTTGTTTATCATAAACTTATTAATCCCTTTGTATGTGTAATTCATGGACAGTTTACTTGATTTATTTATAATCAAATTATTACTAAACATGGTATATAAGGAGTGTAAAACACAATAGAAAAGTTACCCTTGTGAATTAGTTTGAATAAAACAAATAAGGGTAAGTTTTAATATCAAATTAATTATTAAAAATATACAACTGTAAAATAGTTTTTAAACAATTAATTAAATAAATTATTTTCATCTAGATCCATAATTCTCGAAAATGATGTCGAAAATTTTGTTCCTGGCATTTGTTGCCGCCGCATACAGTCTACCCAGTACGTGAATTACCTTGAATCTATTATAATTAATAAGTAATTTATTATAAATTATGACCTTGTCAAATTAAAAGTGTCCAACGAGGGTAATGCCGATAAATTGGTCGACCAATTGTTGGACGTGGTGAAGGCCAAATACGGCGCCCAATTGGACCCGATGCATTTGAACGACTCGGTCGCCGCTTTCAGCAAGAAGATCGGACTCATCACCTTCCATGGTAAAATAATTTAGTTAATCACTGACAATTACTTAACACATACAAGTGAGGTTTGAATATTAGTAAGTTAGTCTAAAATGTTTAGTAAATGCAGTTGCAAGTTTTCTAATTGAATCTAAAACTTTTCATGAAGCACCATAACATGTAACTAGATGAAATATTAGGTCATCTTCGGCTTATATCCGGATATAAGCTACAAAACATAAATTATATACTAGCAGCAAATATATAATATTTAATTACAGTACATAACTATTGCTCAAAACATAACCAGTTTTAATAACTCACTGTACTTAAACTAATTACAAACTACCTTAACCTAATCACACACACCCATTGTAGGCGATGCCAAACTGACCGAGGGCACAATCACCGGGCTGAAAAACATCAAACGCTCGGGCGAGTGCACAATGACTACCGACAAGGGGTTCGACGTGAAGGTGCAGTTCGGCGACAACAACATCGGCGCCCACTTCAAGGGACTCTTGGAGTTCATGGATTTGCACACATCGGGCACAGTTGAGATCAAGATCGCCAACTTTGACACCAAGGTCGAAGTGATCACTGATGCCGCCGGCAAACTGGCCATCAAGGACTTCCAGGTGGATGAGTTGAAGAAGGTGGGAATTGTTTTCCATGGTCCAGTTGAGCCCCTGGACGGTATTGTTGACTTGTTGGGCGAGTCGTTTATTACCCTGTTCAATAAACAGTCGCGCGATTTGGTCGGCAAAATCCTGAAGGGTGTGGTTGAGAAAGAGCTCCAGAACCTTCATTTGTAATTGCATTAAAATGAAAGTCACCTAGTGTGTATTTTTGTTTTTGTTCTTGTTGTTAAATGGTACAAATAAAAGTGCAATTTTCAAACTATTTGTTTTGTTTTATTCATGCTTTTTTGAATGATGGTTACAATGTACTTTTGTAGTTTTTAGTTTAAAGTAAATGATGTTATATCTATCATTTTAAAACTATTTTTATTTTCTTCAAAAACAATAGTTTAACGTTTTTTTTAATTATTAGTTATTTGGCATAAATATAATATATCTGTTAATTTAGTAAGATAAAAATTATTTTGAAATACAAAATAATCTGTAGATACTAACATTTATTTGTATTTTATATTTTATAAATTAGAATACTACTGTATATAGTAAAGTATTATTGTAGCATAGAACAAATAATAAATTACATTATTAATTTAACATTAAATTAACTTACTAACGTATTTGAAATATTAACTAATAAAAATTACAACAACACTTATTTAAACATCAATATTAGATTTAAAATATTATTATTAAATTAAACTGTATTAAATGAAATATGTGCTTTTAATTATGAATACAGTGCAACCTCTCTTGGGGAAACTTCTCTTGGGGAAACACCTCTTCATAAGAAACGGTTTTGAAATCTCTTTTGGATTTCCT